AGAAATTTTGGATAAAAATGACATAAAATGTGTGAATACTATCCTAAGCATTGCATTTTTTCTGCGTAAATGTCAGGAGGTGATATTAACATGAGCTCCATTCATGTGTCTTCATGCTACACAACATATCTAAGTGTTAGAAATCAACACTTAGTTTTATTTTTCTGTTAATTATTAATATTTGTAAGATTGAAGAAGCTCCAAAAACCCTTAAGCACAGAACAAAAAAGCTTTATTCAATATAAACGTCACCCTGATGAAACGTTTCAAAGCCGGCTCTTATTGTTTTATTTGTGCTGCTGCCTCTGAAGCCCCTCCAGCACCGCGGAGCTCCCTCTCCCCGGGGACGGCAGCCTGCTCCGGGCCCTCCTCTCCAGACCGACCCGCCGCCGGTCCTCCTCCGTGGAGGAGGGGCCACAAGCTCCGGCCAGCCTCTGGAGAAAATGCCTGGAATTCCGTTTCCGCTTTAGGGAGTGGACGCTGATTTTGAGTGTTTTTTTTTTTTTTTTTTGGGTAACTTTACTTTCCGACCAACTTTGATTTCCACGTCAACTCGGACAGTTCTCCGCTGACTGTCCCGGATTAACGCGACACTCCGACGATGGCTTCTTCGCCTCAGAAGTCCCCGTCCTCTCCCAAATCCCCGACGCCGAAATCTCCGTCCTCCAGGAAGAAAGACGACTCTTTCCTGGGCAAACTTGGTGGGACTTTGGCGAGAAGGAAAAAGGCTAAAGAAGGTAAACAGCTCGCTACAAACAGCGCTGCTCGGTCTGGTTTCACTGATTTATCGAGAGTTTAAAGCACAGTTTCACATTATAACCAGTATTTCTGCACTTTGTGATGAACCCCAGTGGCTCTTTATGCGCAGATTGATCATCTTTCCTGCGCACCGGACGTCCACACAGTTAGCTAACACTTTTAGCACTTTTCCCACTTTTAGCTAAACTCGGTAGAAACTCGGACGTGTGGAGTCTTGCGTGAGTTTTCATGGCCGCAGGCTGCGTCTGTCTCCATGTAAGGAGTTGAATCCGCGCTGCTGTAATGCGGCAGGAATGAGGCGTGAATAAACACAGGCCCAGTGGAGGAGAACCAGGAGGCTGGGCCAGAACCAGCACCCTCCCCGGGCCACTGGCAGCAGCGTCATTCACCTATAAATCACGTTTCAGACACTGGGTGCAACTTAAATACAGCATATGAACGAATAATACGTTAAAAGGTAGTTGTACAAAAATAATAGTTGTGATTTTATTTATTTAGCACTTTTAAAAATAAGGTTTATAAAGTGTTTCGAGAGGCAAACCGAAAAAAAGTCTACCGTTAGCCATACTTTTAGCTAAAATTAATAGTTAGCCGTACTTTTAGCTGACAGTTGCTAAAGTTTAGCTAACAATTTAAACTGTTAGCCATACTTTAGGCTAATATTTTCAACTGCTAGCCATACTTTTATTTAACAATTGTTTCTGTTAGCTACACTTTTAGCTAACAATTTAGACTGTTAGCCACAATTTTAGCTGATAATTTCAACTGCTAGCTATAGCGGTATCTCACAATTTAAACTGTTAGCCATACTTTTAGCTGTCAGTTTCAACTGCTAGCGAGAACGTTTAGCTAAAAATTTCTACAGTTAGCCAAACTTATAGCTGACAATTTCAACCGTTAACCATACAGTGTAGCTATCAATTGTTTCTGTTAGAGATACTTTAGGCTAATATTTTCAAGTGTTAGTCATACTTTTAGTTAACAGTTGTTTCTGTTAGCCATAATTTTAGCTGATAGTTTTAACTGTTAGCCATATAGTTAAGTAGCAATTTAACCTGTTAGCCATACTTTTAGTGAACAGTTTAAGCCGGGGTTCTCAGCTGGTCTCACCCTGGGACCCACATTTTCTCGTGGTCATTAAGTCACGACCCAATTTTTTTTAGAATTCAGTGTTCAATATATTTTCCTGTGCAACGTGCATTTCAGAGCATACAACCATGCACAGTAACTGGACCATGACAACTGCATGTACAAAAGTGCATAAAATAAATATCAAAACTACTCGAAAACAAAGTTTTGGCCTAATCAGGTCATTTGTTGAAGTTAATGAGACAGTTGGGCAGTGCTCTTATTCAGACGGGGGGTGCCGGCGCTGAGCTTTCGGTCCGACCGACGGTCACAGAGCTGTATCGGAGGTGGAGGAATATTTGGAGATCAAAATTGATATCCTGATTCCAGCACAGCGAACAAATAGTTGGCTGTTAGGCTATTCGGGTCCAGTCCTTGTATGAAAATCCACATTTTCAGTACTCTGGGTCATATTTGCCATCTTGCATCCTGACATCAACACAAACTTAAAATGAACGTCAAACAAACTGTGGTTACCGTGCCTGTCAAAATAAAGTTTTTTCAAAATAAAAAATAAGTCCAACCCATAGACTGTATAAAAGATGGACGTAGCAACCGGCCCGGAAAAGTGAAGCCAACCCGGAAGTGTCAAAAACCTGCAATATCACTACGTCCACTAGTCCTGGCTCCACAAAGCCCTGGCTCCCATAGACTGGAACTGGAAAAGAAGTGATCACAGATCATGAAATACTGCATTCCTACAGCTCAGGATTTTGTTCTTATTAGTTTTCACGGTCAAATCCAGAGATCAGGTGGCCAATCTGAAAATAAATCAATACTGAATTTTTAAAAAATCGCCAACATGTTGCGGAGCAAGGGGCGTGGCTGGCTTGATTGACAGTCGGCAGCGACCATACAGACGAAGCGAGCAGAAGGCGGTAAATGTGGGCGGGGAGAGAGGGCCCGCCTCTCAATCCGTCTGACCAATCGCTGCTCCTATGGCTCCGCCCCCCTCCGCCGATTTTTGCAAATCCAAGATGTCAACCAGGAAGTAGCAAAACCCTGGCTTCATGTTCTCAGTGCAGAAACCAACGGGTGACGTCACGGGAGCTATGTCCATCTTTTATAGTCTATGGTCCAACCTGAGACGCACATTATATATTTAATTTTGACCAGCTGTCCGCGACCCACCCAGAAAAGGTCCGCAACCCACTTTTGGGTCGCGACCCACCATTTGAGAACCCCTGGTTTAAGCCATAGTATCTATTGTTTAAGCTGGTAGACATAGCAGCATCTAACAATTTGTACTGTTAGCCACACTTTCACCCGACTGTTTAAAATGCTAGCCATACAGTTAGCTGACAACTCGTCTCACTGTTTTAGCTAACAAAGTCAACTGTTAGCTGTGCTGTTAGCTTACAGTTTCTACTGTTAGCCCCAGAGGGAGCTAACAATTCTACTTTTCTCCAATTCTGCAAGCTTTAGGTTAAAAATTTCAGCTGTGAAGTATTTCTGCTCCGATCCAATCTGATATTCAGCATTTTTCTGATTATCCGGAGTGCTGGCTGTTAAATACAAGTTAAATAACTCAATAAAAACACCGGCGCGTAATTTTCTGGATGGTAGCAGCGCACACTGAGACAGTAAAATGTAAGTAGGATGACCGAGGATTCAGTTTTTTTTACAGTTTAATATGATTTAACGGCATGATTCTTATGTAAAATAATACTGCTTCAAGGATGGTGTATTAAAAAGGGTTAAATAACAACAATAATACCATTTGTCACGTGGCATTAAAGATAATAAGGCCTTTCTTAAGACTTATTTCTCAAAACAAATGATGAATCTGGCTAATCATTACTAAGAGCAACAGGAAGTCAGTGTAGCGTCGCTGTAATGTGCTCAGTCCTGCAGTTATTCCTGCACAGACGAATATTTATCGTCCTCCAAACAGGACAAAGGAACAGCTTGAGCAAGAATTGACAATTAGGGATGTGTTTTCTTTTTTCGTTTTAACCCAATTTGGTGATTGGGGTTTCATTTACACGAGCATAAAAGCCAATTTTTTGTTCATCAGGTGGTCAGAAAAAATCAGGAAAATGCACAGATTTCTATCAGACAGCGACACCGACGAGTCGTGCTTCATGTTGTGCATCGTCGGCGCTCTGAGGCCCGTTCTGAGCAGAAATAACCCTGCAGAGGTCGAGCTGAGACGCAGAGAAGCAGCTCTGGACTGCCGCCTCTTCCTCTTTCATAGTCGTTCATAAAGCTCGCGATGGGGGACTTTAACTACCGAGAACATGCAATAAATAAGAATCCTCCAAAAGCCTGTGTTTAAACGTGGGGTTTACGGCCTGGCCGGGCTGCCTGGGAAGTGCGACGGGCTTCAGCTGACATTCACTGTTGAAGGCCAGGTTTTATCATGGAATGAGAAAAGGTCTCTTTCAATCGGATGATCAGTCAGGACGCTGCTGCACAGCTGAGCCCCGTTTTATGTCGCCTTTGTCCGTAAGACGTGCACGCAATCTCATTACCGTGTTCCCTGCACGCACGCCGACAGACGTGCACACAGCGGCGTGCAGGATGTCCGCCGTGTGCTCCTCGATGTGATGGAAACGTGGGCTGGTCGCTCCGCCGCCGCCCGCTGAATAAATCTGAGTCGGCGTGACGTTTATGGCGGTGGCCGGGAGAGGGGTTTGAATGGAAGAGAAGGAGAGCGACAAGATGGAGACGAGAGGAGACGAGGAGGTCAGGAGGGTTTAGGAGCCGGGAGAGGTTGTTCCGCATCCTCTGAGCGAGTTCAGACTTTAACGCTGCCAGAGCTCAGCCCGCGGAGGATGAGCTGCAGGGCACGGCGCCGGTCCTGCTAGCCAGGAGAGGATGCTGGAGGCTGGGCGACGGAGGCAGGCAGGCAGACATGGGCTGTGGAGCGCTCTGCCCTCCAGGTAGGACGCCGCTCATGTGACTTCTTTTTATGGTTAGCATTGTTTAGCCAAATGGATGTATCCTGTTTTATGGCCGGAGGGGGAGGAGTGATGGTGGCGCTCAGGACGCCGTTTCATCCCGTTCAGTCGCCTCGTGTTGGAAGTAAATCCATCCGACACGTGCGTTCTGTTAGAGGAGGTGATTTCTGAAGACATGGTGCTCATCAGGCTGAATTTAAATCCGCCGCTAGTAGCTCATGTGAGAGTTGTGTCAGATAACTGGTGTGTTGTCGTCGTGCTGCACTAGTCGGTTTCCAGCCGCTGACAGCCGACGAAAGGTCTTCGGCTCCTTTTGTGTTTTGCTTGCGAGTAACCATGGCAACAGTTGTGGTCAAACAGAACATGTCAGCGTTTTCATGCGACGAGAAAATGTGTGAACGCTGCTTTTGTTTAGTGTAAAGAGAGAAGAGTTCCCCAGAACCTCCTCAGAACCAGCTGGTTCTGTATCTGCAGTAACTCGATCTAAAGTCCACAGAGGAGGGTCCAGATTGATCACCTTAATGGACTTTTTCCATCATTTCTGAGCCTCAGAACTTCATCAGTCCAGCAGATAGACACATGACATTTAGGAGGAAGAACACATCTGGGTTCTGCTAGAACCTGACACCAGATCAGTTCTACATCCATCCAGGTGTCTCAGTCTGAACACTGGATCTGGTTTCGTCAGGCACCACTTCTTCTGGTATCATTTGGACCATTTTTAAGTCATGCTGGACAAATTTGGATTTTTGGAGTCATTTTGAGAAGTTTAGAAGAATTTTCTGTCATTTCTGAATCATTTTAAGTAATTTTGGACCGTTTCTGAGTAATTGAGGACAAATCTGAAGCCATTTTGAAAAATATTTTTGAACTGGATTGTGTCAGTTTTACAAATTTTGAAAATATTAGAAAATCCTGATTTATTTTCAACATTTTCTGTGTCATCCTGAACAAATTTGGGACAGATTTAAAATAACTTAGGACATTTTTTTTGTGAGTAATTTTGGACCTTTTCTGAGCACTGTTTGTGTTTTCAATAAGCAGCTGGTAGCGTCAGTATTATGGGATGTCTCATAGTGGTACCAGTTTAATGTCTATGACACAGAGTCATAGAAACCATCACTGGTACCCTGGATGTGGTTCTGGTTCTGATCATTCACCAGAGGAAACTTTCCAAAGTGCATTCTGGGTAAACTTTCCCGGCTCATACCAGCATGTGTGATGGTGGTTGGTCAGAACCGGTTCTAGAAGATGGAAGGACCGTTTTAGTGTCTGATTTGAACGTTAGCTCCCCGATTAGCCGGTGTGGAAGTTTGATGTCTCGACGACAGAGAAGACGAACCGGCTCCACGTTCTGGTGTTCGGCTGGATGTCACCGCGTCGGCCTGAGAAATCCCCATGAGCCACATTCCTGGTGGATCGCTTCACTGGAAACATCAGGAATGTTTCGTGGCCGATCACCAGAACAGACGACGTGATGTTTTCTACGCCAGTGTTGTGGCGTGTGGTAGATGAATGGAGCTGCTGTGTGTAAGGCCTGCTCAGACAGCATGCTTACAGATGGCTCTTCATTTGTACCACTGCTGGTTCATCTTTGGGCTGAAGCCCCGTGTGATCCTGGTGTTACCGACGGGCTTATTATCAGTCATAACTCCACCGATGCAGTGCTGCTCCGCTGCCTCACATCCTGATCCAAGTTGACTATTTGTTAAGTTCTGTGAAACATTCTGGCTTCATTTTGAGAATTTCTTTCACCTTTTTCAGACCTGGAATTTTGGTCATTTCACCTTTAATGAAACGTCTGAGCCGTGAAGCCATTTTAAAGGTTCAGTGTCTCCAGAAACAAACCAGAGCCGAGAAATCTGCTGAATCCAGTCGAGCAGAACGAACGCTGACGCTGATAAGTTTGTTTATTAATATAAAAACTACATCAAGGAGCAGCTGGGTTATTTCTTCATGCATTGCAGAGCTGTTCGGTTCAGCATATATGTATATACTGGATTAATAATAAATAATAATAATCATTAAAGCCACAAGTGGTGATGGTCGGGTCCTCGCCGTACGATTGTCGGCCTTTGCACATGTCGGGGTTCAGTAGAATAGTCTTCCGGGCGGGACTGTGATCCGGCACGTCGAGTTTGAGGCAGATTGGAGCCCGTGCAGCCTCGTTACGAGCCACTTCCTGTTTGATGGCGAGCCGCAGTGGCGTACGTGTTGTCCGTGGTGGAAACGCGCTCTGGCTCAGACTGGGAACACGAGTGTAAAGTTTCAGGCCGATCGGACCTCGTACACGTCCCGTTTTCTGGCGTTGTGGCTAAATTCCAGGGGGCGGTACGACCTTCCCTGTCGGAGGAGATAGATTTTAAAAATGGCCAAAAATGTCCAAAAGTCATACAAAATTGTCACTGGGGTTTTTCAAAATGGCGGACTTCCTGTTGAGTTTAGGGCTTGGCGCTGATGGACTTATTTGTGCGTCCTGACCTGCTACACATGCCCAGCGAATCTTGTCAGTGTTGGTGAAGCAACCTTCTGACAGGACTCTGATAAATGCTGGAAACACAGTGAAAATGGACAAAATGGCCATTGATTGAAATTGGACGGGCCGCCATTTCCAAACCGGGCCTCATCGACGGAGCGTTTACTAACGTTTAATCACCACGTCCTGTAGTTTGTGCTGGCCAGATTTCAGGTGTGAACGACGTGAACAGGAGGAGATGGATTTTGAAAATGGCCAAAAATGGCCCGGCGTGCTCTCGGTTTTTCCAACATGGCGGATTTCCTGTCGGGTTTACAGAAACATGCTAATGGACTTTTTTATGCGTCACTAGTTGTTACATATGTGTGGTGAATTTCGTAGTTGTAGGTGAAACGTAGCCGCGATGGGACTCTGTTGAAATATTGTTCGTCCTGACCTGCTCGATGTGTCTACCAAATGTCGTAGCTGTTAGTCAAACGTGCTTCTGACAGGGGGCGCTGTGGAGCCATTTTGGCAGTGATATGCCCAATTCCCTTAAAACATGACATTTTTTGCCAGTCCTGGTGTGCGTGGTGATTCTGGTGAGCTTTCGTGCATGTTTAGGCCCTCAAAAACGCATTTGTTTTGGATGAAAAAGAATAATTAGGGTGTCAATGGGGTCCTTGCACTGAATAAATAGCGACGACGTTCATGTACATAAAGTGTTTGTTTTCTAGTTTAACTGTATCAGGGCTTCGTATGAGCAGATACTAAATATTAAATGATCCAAATCAGGTCAGGAGCAGCAAATAAAGGACGTAAACTAATAAAAAATGTGATTTCTGGCTTATTTAAATCCAGTCAAACAGCACTTTTACGCTCACATGTTGTAAAAGAATGAATTAGGAAAAGCATTTTAATGTGGATGTTGTGTACAGCTTTGGTCTGTTGTTGTTTTTTTCTTTACAGTCAACATGTAAATAAACACGGTTTTCCTGTGATTTTACAGAATAATTGTGAGTCAGATCAGAGACAGTCTGAAACATGACGTCCCAGTAAATCGATGAGAAACGACTCACATTTTATTTATAAGTGATTTACAGATTGATTTTGACCTTTAATGCTCTTAAAGTGTAATAAACACGATAAATAACACAAGAATTGGTCACTCAGGAGCTAAAAACGTGTTTCTTTTCTACTTTTATTTGGTGAAAAGTCTCCAGAGTCGTGTTTTTTTTTCGTTTTGTTTCTCCACAAACAGCCCGACTGAACGATTTTGTGCGTTTCCTTCGTGTCGGGTCAGACTTGTGTTGCACTCGAGCGGCGCCGGCGTTCCCTCCCGCCTCGGTGTGATGTGATGCAGGCAGACGCGCTGGATGGTGTTGATTGAGACGATGTCGTTCCACAGAAATGCCGGATGTTCGCTTCGCGCCCTCCACCGGGCCTCCTCAGGTATCCGGCGTGGCGTGCTGGGAGGCGGCGGCGGCGCCCGCTGAGAGGCAGGAAGCGGCGCCGCTGGTCCGGCGTTACGTAGCTCCGGATGCTAATGAGCGTCTGTGGGATGGAAGGAACACGCAGGAGATGTTTCTGAACTTCTAATCCTGGTCTTTGTCTCACGTCCTGGTGCTGATTTTAGCTTTTCGGCTTCACGGCTGGTTTGCGGTTGACGGATGAAGTCAGAGGAAGTTAATTTATGTCGCACACGGAGAATATTTAAAGGAGAAAGAAATGGATAAAATACAGCAGGTTAAAATCAAATTAATTCAATAAGTCAAACAGGTTGTATTTAATTAGCACCTTTTCATACAAATGAAAGAAGTGCGCTACAGATTAAAGCTAATAAAACGACTATAAGGGCAAATAAAAACAATGCAAACGTCCGCCGATGTCGTGTTATAACTAAAGGAGATGTTGACTTAAATAGATGTGATGAGGGAACGCCAGAGGCAGCATCAGGCAGGATTGTTTTTAAATTATTTTTGTATTTTTTTAAAACAATTTTTGACATTTTTAACATTCTTTTAAACAATTTTTTAACATTTTTGTTTTTTTAAATAAAAAAAATTTATTTTTTTTAATAAAATAATGTGCAGAAAAAGAAAAATAACACAAAGTTTAATAACAAACAATAGGTAAAAAGACAAAAATGTGTAAATAAATGGAGAAGTTAATAAATAAACTCAATTTTTGAAAATAAATAGTAAAGAAAATTCATTCATTAACTGATTTATTTGTTTAAACGGCTCGAAATTAGTACTGAATAAAGTTCACAGACATTTTATAGAATTATTCAAACTGACTGACAAACAAAAACATGTTTTATTAAAAAAAACGGATTAATTTAGAGCAGTGGGAAAAAAAATAGCTGTCTTTAGCTTACACTGTAAAAAAAAAAGAAATTAAAAATTGCAGCAAGTTGCATTTAAAAACTGACAAAGAAAATAAAATAGCAGCAAATATCTTCAGACTAGTGATATTTTCAGCTGATTTATATACATATATTCAGTAAAATGATGCAGTTTTATGGTCACGTGTATAAAAATACAAATGAGTATTATTAGAAATACTTATTTTGACGAGGACGTTATTTACAGTTTTGGCATTTTGTTGTTCTACATTTACGTTAATACTTGGTTCTGATATTTTACTGCATATTATCTAGAGATCAGTGAATAATCAGTGCTGAGGTGTTGACCGACTCACACCCTCCTGCAGGTACTTCAGCATCTAACACGTATTAATCCGCAGATAAAAGTAGTTCCGAAAAACGTAATACTGTTAAAAAAAGACAGGCTGTTTATGAAGTATTTTTAAATTGGAAAACTACAAATTAATGACGGATTTGTGACTTTGGTGCCAAAGAAAAATGGCTTCTGGGATTTTGTTGACGATAATAAAACGTGTTGTCATTGAAGGCGACGTCTCCATCCTGACGTTTCTAACTTGTTCCTCGCAGTGTCCGAGCTTCAGGAGGAGGGAATCAACGCCATCAACCTTCCTCTCAGCCCGTCACACTATGAGCTGGACCCGGAGGACACCATGCTGGGTAAGCCGTGCACTCACTCTGTAGATAATCACGAGGTAAAGCCGTGAACACCCACAGCCGACGCCTCTGTAGCGCTCGGGTCACGTGGTGAGCTTCTGATGCCGCTCTGTGCCTGTAGGGGGAGACAAAAAAAAAAAAGGCTTTCTGGGGAATATGTTTAGCTGATAAAAGTCGTATTTCCTGTCTGACTTGTGTTGAACTCCCCCAGAGGAGAACGAGGTGCGCACCATGGTGGACCCCAACTCCAAGAACGACCGCAAGCTGCAGGAGCTCATGAAGGTTTGTTGCTGTTAAATGTTGCTGAGTCGTGTTTTATAACGCCGCTTTGAAAGCAAAGGAAATATGCGCAGAAAAATGTGCGCAGTTGGAATGTCGTTGTGCTCATATTTCCTTTGCTTTTAAAGCGACATTATAAAAAATAAATA